GTAAACAGGCAGATAGATTACGATGAACGTTGAACGGCTCACGATAAGGTATTTACAAAAGCACAATTCTTTAGAAACTTTTTGCAGTAGCAAAGTGGAGAGCTTATTTCAGAAGGTAAATAGGTATAAGCTGAACTTATTACGGTGTCTACCACAGGCAGCTGGGAAATCGTTTTATTTTTTGTTACGAAGGCGTTTGGACTTGTCTAAATTTTCCATTTAGACGAAAACCTCAACTTGACAGAAGTAACGTGGAAAAGCGACCCGTTCCCAAGAACGAAAACCCATTATGTTGGATAGCTTTCGAAATGAGTTAAACGGCGAACTTAATTAGTTTCAGACTTAAATGACGAATGCTTTTCTTTCTTTTGCTATTTTTATTTCTTTAGATACGGCTTCTGTGAGTAGTTCGTTTAACCCACAAGAAGCAGCTACAGCAGACAAAAAAATGTTGATTTTCTATTAGATGTTTTGTACTCCAATTGTTGAAGTAGTAGTAGTAGAGTAGTCTTCATGAAAGGTAATTACTTACTATGACTGTAACTGTTAGGTGTGAAATTCAAGGAGTTCTGTCTATCGTAGCAATTCATTGTACAGTAACTGAAAAAATATGAAGACTTACATTATACAAATAGGGAAGTGAAGGCCAACTATAGAAAATTGCTGCATTTTATGGTATTCAAAAATGTCCACAGTGCAGCTACACCCGCTTGGCAAATGCGTGATCAATCAGAACAAGAATTTCAAGGTGGTCAGTATTCTATTGATCTTATTGGATGTTTTCAGCACGCTATGGAAAGTTTTGACAAAATACAGATCAACCTTACATGCTTTTAGCCAGCATAAACAACTTAGCCCACATCTCCTGTGGTAAACTGCTACATTTTAGTTGAATTCAAAAATGTTCTACAAATCAGGATAAGGTCCACTAAAATGTAGCAATTTTACTACAGAAGGTGTTCTCGACGGTGTATGTAGAAATTCATAAAGTGCCGTTTAAGGACAGCAGCTGGAGTTGGTTCATGTTCTACTGGAAATATCTGCGACGTACTGCCGAAATCCAATAAGATCAAAAGCGCGGCTCATGTGTAACGGTTTTGACAGAATGCATGCGTATCATTCAATTCTTCGCAATTTATAAGAATGACTGGAAAAGACCAACGATTTGTTCTTTAGTCTGTAACGTTTAATAGTCTGCTGTAATTCAAGGGTACAAACAAATATTAATAAGAAAACGTGTTAAGTTTAGTGAAAGGACTGGAAAACCTAATAGTTTTAGGAGATTTCAACGCAGTAATGGGTGAAGGTAAAGTGGGTGCAGTAGCAGGTTCTTTTGGAATAGGCAATAGAAATGATAGGGGAGATGGGCTGATAGAATTTAGCGATAAACATAATTTAACTGTCGCGAATACTTTATTCAATCATCACGTTAGGAGGCGCTGTACGTGGAAAAAGCCAGGTGATTTAGGAAGATATCAGTTAGATTACATACTTGTTAGGCAACAATTTAAAAATCAAGTGAAGGACTGTAGGAGTTATCCAGGAGCAGATATAGATAGCGATCATAACTTAGTAGTTATGAAGACCAATCTTAAATTGAAAACTCTGAAAAAGAGGGAAGGTAGGAGACGTCCCGAATTAGAAAAGCTGAAATTTGACGAAACGCGTGATAGGCTAGGTAAAAGGACAAACGAAATACTAAAGGCGGTGGGAGAAACGAATGACGGGGACATAGAGACAGAATGGAACTGCATTAAAACGTGCCTAAAGTCAGCAGCTACAGATATACTAGATCTTAAACAAGCGAAAGTAGAAAACCCTTGATCACAAACTAGATTGTTGTATTAATAGACGAAAGGCGGAAATACAAAAACAGGACAGACGAAGAAGGGCAAAAAAGATATAAAGCTATAAAGTGGGAAATAATTAGGAAGTGTAGGGCAGCTAAGGAACAGTGGATTGATAGGATGTGTAAAGAAGTAGAAGAAAAGTTTGAAGTAGNGTTTAAAGTAGGTTAATCGGTTGAGGCTTATAATATAACTAAAAGGAATTTTAGAGATGTAGGATACAGTAGTAATAATATAAGAAACGAGGTAGGGGTCATTTTGATAGAAAATGAGGAAAAGGCAGATAGGTGGAAAAAATATTTAGAGAACCTATACGCAGGCCCTGAGTTATATTAGAGAAGGAAGATAGTGTGGAGATAGATGAGCTTAGTTATCCCATAATGAGAGAAGAGTTCGATGTAGCATTAAAAAACTTAAAGAATAATAAGGCGCCAGGTGTAGATGAGATACAGGTGGAAATTCTAAAACATGCAGGATAAGAGGTTAGAGATCGTATGTTTAAGCTAGTTAGTCACATGTACTAGACGGGGAAAATCCCAGAGGATTATAAACGGAACCTAGGAGTAACATTACCTAAAAAGAGGGGCGCGGATAGGTGCGAGACATTTAGAACAATTAGCTTAACTTTGTACAGAGGAGGTTGAAAAAAAAAGGGCGGAAGAATTATTAGGGGAAGATCAATTTGGGTTTAGTAGAAATAGAGGGACGCGGGAGGCCATTCTAGCTTTATGTGTAACAATAGGGAAAACGATAGAAAAAGGAAAGAGTGCGTACACAGGATTTGTAGATTTAGAGAAAGCTTTTGACAATGTTAAATGAGACAAGATGTTAAATACACTTATAAATGTAGGGATGAGTTACAAAGATAGAAGAGTGACACTTAGTTTGTGTAAAGATAAGCAGGCAGTTGTAGAGCTAGGGCTGCAACGTAGAGAAATAAATATTAGGAAGGGAGTCAGACAGGTATATATGTCACCGCTACTTTTTAATATATACATCGAAGACGCGATCAACATCATTAAAGACAGTACCACTGTAGGGATAGATATACATATTAGTATGCCTAGATTTGCAGATGATATAGCAGTATTAGCATCTAGCAAGGAGGACTTCTACTTATACCTATCTCTTTTGCCTTTTTATATAAATGCACTACTTTCCAAAATTCTTCAGTTCCTTTGGTCATACTGAATTTTTTATCAACTCTTCACTATACTCTTCCTTACTTTTTTTAATCTGGTCCCTTTATTCCCACCTCATTTTTCTATATTCCATCTCTTCACATTCATTATTTCTCCACTTACCTAATGCCCTTATATATTCTTTCTTTTTCCTCAAACATACACAGTTCCACCATCTATTATTGTTACTTCTCACTTCTACTCTTTCCTTAACCATACATTCATTAACTATTTTTATCATCTCTTTCCAATTGTGAATTTCATTCACTCTCTCATTTATATTTTTTCTGTATTTTTCAATAACTCCCGCAGTCCATTTGATAACAACTTTATTCACTCATTCTTTCCTATTATCATTCATTTCTTTCTTCCACTCAATTGCTATTGGTAAATGGTCTGATCCTATCATGCCCATGACTCCAGACCTATCAATTTCTCCCCATTCATCCCCATTAACCATACCGTAATCTATCACCGTTTTTCCTCTCCCTAAAAAAATATATTCACCCTTTCTATCCCCTTCCATAGTTCCATTTAATATCGCCAGACCATTCTTTGTTCCTCATTCTATGAATTCCTTCCGCTATCAATATCTTTATCTCTTGAATTTATCCTCCCTTACTGCACATACTTCATTCCCTATTCTTATATTAAAATCCCCAACTAACATTATGTTATAATTCCTACTGAATTGAATTTTTTCTTCTATATAATCTAAATTACTTTTTTTCTTTTTGTTTAAAAAATACCCACATTATCTTATATATCAACCCTCTTATCATTACTAATTCATCATTAATTTCCGTTATCTCAAGTTTGAGATATTTTTTTATTCCCGCCAACAAACCTCCTTTAGCTCTGCCTTTTTTCCAGCTCTTGTAACATCAATAAATTCCCAATTGTGATCATCTAAATTACTCCCTATGTGCCCTATATCTTTACACTCAAGCCAAGTATCACATAAACAAAGTATTTCATAATTCTTTAAAAAATCCCAAAAACTATAATCCTTATTCTTCACCACCGCTACATTCCACGCCACGAGGTTAATATTCTTTTTAGGCACCATTCCCACAAGGCCCCTCGTATCTTTCCCCATTATCCCGAAATGTCTTATTTTCTGCATTTATCATCCTCTTCTCTTGATCGTCCCATACCCACAGTACCTCTCCTAATTGTATATTTTTATAACCCACCCTAATTTCTTTACCATTATTCTTCCCCTTTTCTCCTGTGTTGTCAAATCCTCCTTAATAAATATGCTTGTTCCTCTCAGATTCTTTTTGTTTATATTGTTCATATCTTTTCTTTTATTTTCCAAATTTCCAAGATCTCTGTTTCAACTTTCAGCTTCTCTTTTATCAGATCTTTCATTTCAACTCTCCAATCCCCCTTCCCAGCTCTACACCAAACACAACGATGTTGGTTCTTTTCTCTAATTTATTTCTTCTTTCCATCTCTCCCTCCAAAGTAGTAATTTTTATCTCCTGTGTAATTATCGAAAAGAACTTTTCTTGTAGAGCATTAAATTTACCACAGAAATGTACACCGAATAATGTATGTATGTACATAGAGTCGTTACTGAGCTACGGAATTCAGAATAAGATTAAATTTTTTTCTCATATAAATTGAATCAAAAATGGAAAATTACACCCAGAAACCACTAATTTTAGTATTAAACAATAAAATTATAACAGGCATAATATTTCCTTTCTCTGCGACTATTAGGTAAAAGGAGAAAACAAGTAGGTGGTCGATTTTTCTCAAGCAGTCTAATAAATTATCCATTGAAATACGACAAAACTGAATTTGTTTTGTTAAAGACTAACGATCTAACTTAACAGATTGATTTCATTCATTTTTTATCAAAAAGCTAATGATTACAATAAACTTATTTAAATAGAATTTCGAAATTAAATGTATCCTATAGTAGTATTGTATATTTCATCTAGACAATATTACATGGTAAATAACCAACAAGGTCGGTACAATTTGCACATTTTGAAATAGGTAAAGTTGCTTATTGATTCCAATTTTCCAATTTTTCCGTAAATACTATTAATTATTTAATTTAAGGTTTAACCTTTAGGTTTTTCAGAAAACGGTCCAAGGTTCGATTCTCTTGTAGAAATAGACCACTTTTGACCATTTTGTAAAGAGTTTTCTACCAGTGGATTTATAAGAATTGAACGACAAGAATGTTTCCTCAAAATATTTTTGAGAAACGAAGTTGAGGTAATTTGTCTGGAGAATTTATTATTTTTAAATAAACCTTTTTCTGTTTTAAAATCAGCTCTAATTCCCCAAGCGGCATTTCCTATGTTCAAGTTATTATGGGGTTCAGTAATGCAGGAAATGGTTTCTTTGGTTTTAAATCTTGTCGCCGTCTGCGTTTGAAAAGACAATACTAGTGACAAATCGAGTTTGTTTCCTTTCCTGCTGAGCTTAGATGACTTGACTTTCAATATGTCGCCCAATTGACTTATAAGATCTCTGTCGATTGCGTTTCTCATGACAGATAAATCTCCGAAATTCGGACTTACAAGATTGCACCTATACGTTACCGATTCCTTTTTATCGTGAGTTCTAAAAGCATGAATGGAAGGACATTGACATTCTTGAGAATATTTAACAGTCGTAGTTGTATCTTCTACATCAATTTCACATTCCTGACCCTTCTTAAAATTCTCACAGTTTTCGCCAAACAATAATCTGTAAATCGCTTCTAGAACTGTCTGTCTCCATGTGCCAACATTTTTAGAAGGAGATGCCCTTCGATCTTTTATAACTTTTGAAGAAGGAACAATATTATTTCCTTTTACATCGTCGAACTTCACTAGAGATGGACAGGAGCAGGATTTACATTCACAATCATTCAGTTCTCCCTGGAAGTTACTTTTTTTTTTATTTGGGTCTGAAAGTCTATCGTATCTCCGAATTTGAGGTAACTGATTACATCGACAGATCGAATCGGAGTTAACTCTGATGCCAGGACGTGAAACTGTCGCTTTCGAAACTTTTACACGATTGGCAGACATATGGCGAGGTGGTAAAAGATTCTTTACTGGTGTGATATGACGGCTCAGTGAGGTTTTATCTACGCTCCTGTCGGATTTCCTAGAAGGTCGTCTTGAACCGGAGCACATGTCTGCATCAGATCGGAGGACTTTCACGTTTGTAGAGAAAGAAGAGACAATTTCAACTGCCACTGGCAAATTATTACTGGACTCCGGAGTTGTTGTGGCTTCATCCATCAAACTTTGTTCTATCGCTGCCGCCGCGGCTTCAGGAACCTAAAATTAGCTTCTCAAGTACTTAAAATAAATGAGAATAATAAAGACACCTACCACTATTTTAATGACCATTAGGTCTTTTTTTCCTGTGCCATAACCGGTTTGTATCTGCAAAGACGAGACATCCGCATCTTTATTAGACTGAGATTCTTTTTGTGTTTCCGATTGTTCTTTTTCAGAATTCGGATTAACGTGTTCATCAGTTTGTATTTCAGCATTATCTGACTTACATTTGCTGTCAATCGACGTGGAACTACATAAAGTCACAACTGTACAAGAATGACGATCTGTTTTTTCAACGTTATTATTACTTCTGTTTTCTGATTCCTGGTAGCTTCTACTTCCTTTTCGATAACGTGAAAATTGATCTTCATCTGAAATGTATGTAAAGTATCGCTTAAATCGTTATATTTTGTTACACACGTAACCTACCGTTAGTTTGAACGGCTGAACACATAAAAGATGATTCCTTTTCTGTTTCCGAAGTGCATTGGTTGGGCAAGGTTTGAGTTCCCTTAGCTGCTTCTGGACAAACTATTCTATCACCGGTTTGTACTCCACGGCCACCGCATAGTCTATTTTCCTTACAGGTAATATATTTTGTTTCCTCTTGTAAATTTTCAAAATCGTTAGTTGATCCTTCCGGAAAGGAAGGTGGGTTTAGGTAGGAATATTGTGCAGCACGACCACGACATTGTTTGTTTCCCTTACATACGAAGTGCATTTCTCCTGCTTTTAAATCATTTTGAAAGCTTTTAAAATCTTCAGTTGGCTCTTTTAACTTAGGATCCTGTGTTGAAGCTGTGTAATTGTCAGTTGTATTATCTTGAAAATTATTTTGCGGTGTATTACAGGGATTTCGATTCCTGGATTGTCCTTTCAAACAGCCTCGACATTTGTCATTGGAAGTACCTTGAATTGCTTCATTGTATGTCTTAGGAGATGTGTTGAAATCGTTTTGAACGCTTTTAAAATCTTCGTTTGACCCTTTTAACGTTGATTCTTGTGTTACAGTATATTTATCGGTTGTATTATCTTGAGAATCATTTGGTAGTGTAACACTGGGGATCCGTCCTCTAGATTCTCCCTTCAAACACCCACGATTACATGTCCTAGGAAATTTGTAGCACGTTTGTTTCAAATCAGAATTAGTCTGGGCTGAATTGGATTTTTGAAAGCAGGCAGATGGTTCAGACGGTGGTTGCAATGAAGCATTTTTCTGCATAGTCTGAAGATCTCCCTTATCTTCAGTTTGTGAGGAACCTACTGCCGATTCTTTTAGTGAATGTTGTGAAGTTTGAATGGCGACGGAATCGTTTCTTTCTTCACCACTTTTTGTACTTTCACCTTTATCTTCTTCATTTTGAAGCTTTTTTCTACATTTACAGCAAACGTTTAAAGCACCGCGTTGATTAATTGAACCTTGTTCCATCGTACCTTGCGCATTCAAAGCTGTGTAAACTTTGAAACTTGTTTCCGATGTTCCTTTACATGATTTATAACCTGGTTTGGTTTGATTGTGGATGACAGTATATTTTCTCATTAAAGAGCCGTACGAACAATCTTCTGAAGGCGAATAATTGCAAGATTCTAGTGATTGAATTAATTCTGTGTCTTTTTCGGCAATACACCTAAAAGCCGTATATTCAACGCAATGAGTTTCAGTACCTTGAGATGTTTTATGGGTTTTACGGTAATCATCATTCTCAAAATTGTATTTTAATTGTGTGTTCTCTTTTTGACAGCATACGTCATTAATGTTTCTGGTATTTGGAGGACTTTCTGGTTGATAATTACATTTTGGTAGAGAGAAAAGGCTAATAGATTGATCGAAAAGTTTACTGTCAGGGTCAGAAAGACGCTTCTGTGAATTCCAGATGCAGTTATTCCTAGTAGAGGGTAGAAACATTTGAATGCCGGTGGATTCTTCGTCACTTTTAGGATAAATATTTGCTACTCCACTATTGCACTTAGAACTAACTGAATTGGAGTCAGAATCGTATCTCTGAGATCCATGCGTCTTAACCAAATGTAACGTTTGTGTATCTCTAGCATAATTGAGACAAACAAATGGGCAAGGGCCATTTTGTTTGCCAAATGCATTTTTTGTCTTACAAAGACCCATTGAGGTTTTTGAATTTTTCGTTTGTGTATGCGTGTCCTCGGCTTTTCTCAACGAACTTGTTTCGAAGTTTCTGGAGGAACCTCCACTTTCGTATTGTGGTTTTCCACTAGTACAACGTGAATCAGGGCTGGGCTGTGTCAGTAATACCGAATCATCAGAGTCGCAGTTACATTCAACGGTGTAAGGAGATCCTTTCTTGCAATAGTCATGACGATCGAGCATGACGCTATTGATAAAATTTGAACTTTCTTGCGCATTAGGAGATTTTTCATCGCTTGCTGTTATATTCAGGGCTTTGCTTTTTTGAAGTGATTTGACCAAATATTCCTTGGTATTCTGGAAAGGCAAAAAGATTAGAGTATAGTGTTTTTGCTGATAAAATTCATTGCTTAATATTTCCTCTTATGGAGAATACAGCCTCCATAAGAGGTCTTGCTGAAATTGTAAAATATTTGATAAATAACATTCATGAACAAGTGGTTAATGTTTTTTTAATATTTACTGTTTACTAAACGTTTACCTTTTAATTTGCTTCAGCAACTTGACAATTGAAACATTAAGCAGATAATTTCTATGATTAAAATTTGTTTAATTATAAATTTAATGGTGCAACATGATTGTTAATAGGAGATATACCTAGTAACATTGTAATTTTACGTTTAAAAATATTTTTTAAAATCTTGTCTATCACCTAAATGTAATTCATAGTCTTTATATTTTACTAGATCAATGAATGAATAATATTTTTAAATTTTTCAAAAATGGTTAAATTTGTTTTTTTTTTCTCTTCACATTATTATTGTCTACATTTAATATTGTAGATATTTTAAAAAATATTTAAGTTGATATAACAATTATAGAGCTCTCAAGATTTTTGATTTAGAAGCATTAAATACATGTTAAAATACTACATTTTCAAGCCAGATCTAAACAAAAAAATATTAGTTTCTTGTGTGACACTCATTGTAACTAGAGCTTAACAGGAAAATCTTTCTTTTGTACAGGCACAAAGAGGCTTGATTAGGATCTTTAGGATCCTGATTAGGAACAGGATAATGAACTAAAAGAGGAACGTATTGAAGAGCAAAAGAGGCATTTTATTATTCAGTTTATGTACTAAAGGCTAAAATTACTGGGAAGGACTGAACCCGCGTCTTAACGCAGCCAAAAGAAACAACAGTATTAGGTCACTCGGTGGACGATTAGAAGCAAATAATAGATGGAGTCCGGATCGGCGATAACTATAAGGGTGTTTCAGAAATTAGTAGCAATCATGCAGGAAGTGATAGGGCACTACAAAAAATATATAATGTTTGGTAATCTGAAAGATTACCGTTTTCGAGAAAAACGTATTTGAAATCAGAGGCAAGGCCTGGCAGGGAAATACGACATTTCAACGCCGTGTTCACTGTTCACTCAGCTGATAATTAGCACTATCCGTGGTGTATTTCTTTTTTTTGCACTAATGAATTGTTTGTCATTTGTTAGTTATTAAATATTATTGACGATGTTTATATGTTATTAAGGACTGGCTTTGCTCTTCTAGTGTTGTAGGCTTGTCAGTGTAGAACTGTTACAATGGCGTTTAGTATGGTAGAACTTTGTGACACGATACTAATTTACGACGAATGTAAACGCAATCTCAATGCAACTATCGAATTGCACCGTCATCTATATGCTCATCGAAAACTTCCTCCGCGGCAACAGAGATTAAGAGAAACCTGCAATATACACCCACTGTATGAAGGTTTATCAAACGCCACTGCAGAACGCAAATGGTTTTCGCGACCGTGTGGTGATCGTTGCAAATGAAATACACCAAATACCAGATGTTTTCCAACGGCTCAGAAATAATTTTAGTAGACGTTTCAAAGGCTGTCTCTTAGCACATATTTGGAGTTCGGATTTTAAAGAAATTTTGTAGTTTACGTATGTGTTGCTTTTTAAAGATGTAGAATAGTTAACGCGCCTTTACCATACCTAATGGTGGTGTGGAAATTTGTCTCATGTGTGCATAATTCTAACTCATATTTTTTTCTTTCTTTTGTGTACTTAAAGGTTGAGGTGTAATTTAAAAAAATGCTGCACACTATTAGCGTTCAGCGTTGTGCAAATGTTGTTATTACTTCATTCTTATCGTAATCTAAACATTATGTGTAGTAAACTTTGTTAATGTTTACTTTAACCGATCGACAACCGGCATGCAGCTTCTGAGTTCTTATATCAATTCATAGACATAGTCATTAGTTGTCAATTCGCCCAGGACTGCCTTTGGATTGTAACTTGTGGTTTTCTTAAAAATTGTTTTTGCCCTTTTATCATTTTGTGGTATTCACTATGAGATTCCATTTTCCATGTAGTTGATACTCCTCAAAGCTTGCCACTTATTTTAGAAACACCTTGTATAATAATTTCCAGCGTAACTACTACTATGTTATGCCGCACCGATTGACCATGATCTTAGAACGTAAATACCTAAAGACAGCATTGTATAGTTTCTAATCCTCTTGCACAAGACCCTCACAGGGAAGGAGGAAGTAGGAGGAAGGTTGACACTCCAGTAACCTTAATCTAACCTAACAGTGATTTTATTTGATTACTTGTATTTCTTAAAAAGCAATATTAAGACCTTATTTCTCAATAATTTGTTATGGGTTGGGTTTCGTAGTTTTGCTCATATTGTTTTTCCAACTCCAAAAGCTAGGAGTTATTATACAGAATCATACAGGACCTACAAACAGTAATACAAAGGTGCAAAAGTTACTTTCTAACGCGGCCTGATTGACTTTGTCACATTCTGAGATGCATCTCTCCGTATTTATTTATCCAGATATATAATATTATATTTGGAGCGGAAGAAAACAACCAAACCTAACTTAAAACTAAACGAATTAATCAGAAATAAGGTTTTAATTTTTTGACGTGACAACGTCTTATAATTCAATGGAGCCGGCTGCACGCACGAAAAAACATGACTCATGCGGCGTTACCTCGCTCTGAGGCGTTCCATTTAAAGCTTGAAGTGCAAGCGAGAGCGCGGAACGAGCGACAAAGAGGCACAATCGGCCTCCGCGTTCGGCAGCGTTCGACATCTGTCTCTCTCCTACTTAAGTGAGCGATGCGTCCGCGTGGACAGCTGCTATACAATAATACATTTACATGTTTTCGTCAAGTATGAAGTGCAGTGAAAAGTGAATGTGGTGTCAATTGTTTATAGCAACGATAATTGCGGCGATAAAGGTAATGATTCTTTCGATATTAAATATATGTTAGGTGATATATTGTCGAATTGAAGCTAGAGTTACAGAAATTTTAATGATGTTTAAACGTTGTAAATAAAAGTTGTAAAACAATTGCTCAATGCACATTCATACTTGTAAAAACTATGTACGTTGGAAAAAAAATAAATTAAAATGGACATAATTGTATTTATGCGTACAAATAAATGTAACTTGATTAATTCAATTGTGATTTCCGTTTACCTCTATATCCATACAAAATATCTATCAAACAGATAAAATTAAAATTTTCTTTTGAAAAATGAAACAATTCCATCAGTATTTTCTTATGACGTTGTCACGTTCAACTATCGTCAGTAAACCAACTTTACAAACAACCGATTTTTTTTACGAAAAGGGCAGCAAAGAAAACACTCACTCAGCGGTTTCCTACCTTATGATCCTAAGCAGTCAAATAAAATTATTATTAGGTTAGCTTAAGGTTGTTGGAGTGTCAATGTCCCGCTTGATGATTTTGTATGATCATGTCCCTACTTTTGTGCAACAACAAAAAAATTCTTATTTTTGTTGTATCGTTTACTTATGGCGTTTAGATCCGTAACATAGTAGATGATACAACTAATAACTAATAAAGATACGTGTGTTGAGTAATCTCTATAACTATACTTCGTTTAATTTCTGTAGCGATGTGACCTTCAGTTTGACCGGCGCAAAGTAGAAAAGAACAGCACTAGGCTAGAAAAGGAAGGAGACAACTCTCGGCCAAACTATTAACCGGTGAGGAGCGTATAATCCGTACAGAACTGCACGGAAAAATTGACCATTTTATCCACTACAATTGCATTGCTCAAATGTGCTGTTGTTGGTACCATTTGCTACTGAAAATATCAACGAGATGTTTATTTATTATTATTATTAGAAGACATATTAAAAGCTTTAACGCGTGTTTCCGACTCACACTACTATTCAAGATTGAACAAAACTTTTGGCAGGTACTGTATGAGAAAGGATGTTTAATGAACAAGAGTCGAGAGTATAATGAGCTTTTTTCTCCCTTCCTACGATTTTGCCAGCGCGCATCCAAGACATTGGAAAGGTCACATATCTAGAGAAAGTTACTGGAATGAAAAAATACACACAAATGTAGTTGCGAAGGAAGTGCCAATTTGGCCCCATTAAAAAAAGTAGGATACACATTTCGATCACCAGTACTTTTAGATTAGTGATTGTTAAAAATTGTATGAAAAATCAATTGTGTGCGATTCAAGCGCACGCGTGCAACTGTTTTTGAACGGGTTCATCTAGTTGATAATAATAATGTAGATTCGACACACTACCAGCGGCGTAGTGCTTATTACAAACGCCTTGCTCACTGCTCATCATTCAAATATCGTTGCTTTATACCGTTTACAATTGTGTCTTTAGGTTAACGCTTTTGTGCTACATAAAGTTACGAGAATAGTAGGTATATTTGTTTATGAAGCACGTTATAAAATATAACGACTGTATGCGACACAGTTTATATTTTTACGAGTATATCACCAACCTTGTCCATTTTTATTTGAATGGGCCTGCCATCAATTTTGAATTCCAAAAGTACGTTGTCCTTTGACTCTGCAAAGCTAATGCTTTTTTTCTTGTTGACATCCTGCATGCTTCTTCCTTCTTTTTTGCATTTCTTAAAACACAATTACGTCAAATAATTAAAGATAACTCTAAAGAGAAGAGGCTATGGCTTTGGGAAACTGAATTTTTATTCTGCTTGTCGTAACGGTATTACGTACGCCATGTCGAAATGCTACCAGTAAAATAACTAGTTACAATTCTCACAAATAACCGAAACAGAATATGGCACTTGTTTACACCATAGGATCAATAGTCTGAGAAAGGGGAAAGGGTGAAATGTAGTATAACCTAAGTATAACACAATAAAAATTACATTATATGGGAGTGGAAAGGGGAAGACTAAAAATCGAATCCATAATGTGACTAAAGTAATCAAACCCAACCCTAACGTAATTTAACTATTCCAACACAGTAAATATTTTTTTGGTGTTACTGTTATCTTTTTGTGGAATATGAATATTGATTGAAGTATGAAACTGACATATCAGATAAAAATGTCTCCATACAATTTTTACGTTAGGTTAGGTTAAGTTGCCTTAGGTTCCTTTATAGTATTTGATTTCACTCTTAATCCCCTAGGCCTACCCCTTAAAGTCTGTTCCTTAATGCTATATTAGGTCACTCCTTTACCCTCCATCAATTTCCTCATTCTCTTCGATCATGGGATATATATTTTGAAGTAGAAGGAGGTTGTATGTATGTGAGAACATAGTATGCTGCTACAACTACATTAAAATTAAAAATCATTTCCCCAAAGCCGTATCACCCCATCTTAGATTTTTGTACCTTTCTGTTACAACATGCAAATAGTCCTTTCTTTTGGCATTCCTTATCTGTTTCAGAACGCTTGCACTGTTTCTTATCACCTCGCGAACATTCCTTATATTTTGCCATTTCAGCCATTGCTCGTAAAGGCCTTTTGACTGGTTTGACATGTACTCCTCTGCATTCTCGGTCTTTACTTGCTCCTACTGAGCAGGGCTTAGGCGATCTATACTTCTTCGACTTGCTTTCTTTATGCGTTTTTTGTTTGTGCGATAAGGAAGCTTTGGATGCCGCAGAAAGTTTCCTTGTAAGTTCTATTGATTCTGATTCTTTGGGTGAAAGATCTATTGGTTTCCGTCGCTCCTTTCTTTCTGCATCTTGAATCACTGCTATTGTACATCCCAGTACCTCGTGGAGTTGAATCAACTCCTTCAGTACAAATTTGTCCACATAAACCTTCTGTTCATCAGGACTTCCATAAGGATCATCCTTATTCACTAAATACAATGTATTTACTATAATTTCATTAAAATAAGAAAGTGAATTTGATGTTGTGTTTGTAGGTAAGGAAGATCGCTTTCCGGAAAGCCCCTCAACAACCTAAAATTATATTGTAATAAAAAGTAACATTAATCATCAACATGTTTTATTGGTACAGGTACCTTTAAAAACATATTTATGACATCAGATGTGTCCTTGAACTGTTTGGCGGTAATATAACAAATAGGATAGTTATCCTTTCGAAATTCATGAATTTCTCTAACGGTTAATTGCGAGGCGCTCAAAATTATTTCATTTATTACTGGATCTAGTAGATCACGTGCCTTATAAAGCTGTTTTAGTGTGTTTGAAATTTCTTGTATGTTTGATGCAGATCTTTTAGCATCTTCAATAGCCAGAGTTTGCTTTATGAGTTTTTCAGATTTAATGTCTGTGAGACTGAACGACGGTTGACTTTTAGCTACATATGGCACTATTTCGCGATGTTTCTTAATCTTTGTAGCCTTTTGGAAACATATAGGGCATCTGTATAATATACTATCACTTTCGTGGAGTTCAGGACAACAGAAAGGACATTTAAAGCTATTGTTATGAGCTAAATTCAACTGAGGGACTATAATTCGTTTGAGCTCATCGAATATTCTTTGTTTAACGGTTTGGGCATCTGTAAATTCTTCATCTGACTCAATTACTAGCAATGATCCTTCTGACTTACATCTTCGATTTACGTTCATTATTCTTTAACATTACTGTGTTCGAACTCAAATTGTTTTCTTTATATTTAGACATTCTTATTATCTTCATGCATTCTACTGGAATTTTGAAATGCGACCATTTGATATGATTGACATATAACGATGAATTTTGACAAATGCTGTCGCTTTCTTAAACAGCGGCATTTAGTGAACATTTTGTATTAGTTTATGCAAACCATTGAGAACTGTAAAACATTACCCTCATATAAAACTCAATTGCATGCTCTCGAACTCATAAAAATATGAAAGAAAATTATTTTTTTTTACTATTATTTGACATCGTTTGATTGCACCTGTTAAGTTTTGAATAAATATTGCTATGATATTTCGTCATAGATAGTTAAATTGTCTTCTTCGTCATTAAACTGAAATGTTTTAACCGACTATTTGCGTGTTTTTGTTGGTTTTGGTATTCAACTAATTCAGGTGATTGTATAAGAAGAAATACGAATGGCAGAAGTTTTTTGTGAGAAAACTTCACATTTTAATAGTTTTATTAACATTTTTTTATTGAATAGTTTATATTGAAACTTTATATCTAATTCATAGAATATTTGGGTGGAGGAGGGCTACTGCTATCTATCTTGAAATAAAGTAACCTTAGTTAGGTTAGGTATCTTAGGTTAGGTTAGGGTAGGCGGCAGGTCCCCCTCCTTCCAAATATTTTATTAGGTATACAAATAAAATTTTATCCAAAAAAAGGCAACAAAACGTATGAATAACTTTTCTCAAAAATAGCTTTTCCATCAACTGGGTTCAGAACCTGGGTCCGCACGCATAGTACGCACACGTCATCATCATCATCAGTAACAATCATTAAACTATTGAAGTTGTAAGAATACCTTCAACTTCTTTATAATGTTTCAGTCAGTCGGTAGTCAATTAAATTTTTTCGGTTATGCACCTACAAAAAATGGTTTCCACTTTCCTTCAGACATGTAATGTGAGTCATAACCATTGATACATAGAGTAAATGCAGGTAATTTGGATCTAAATATGAAAATTATATGAAACATATTTATAATAAAATAACATTTTATTTGAAAAAAGATACCGGGCGTTAAGGTGACATTGTTTTCATGTTTTGGAAATAATTTTACAACATTCTCATAAATCGTTATCACAGTTGGCACGCAGGGAAACTTTAGGGAAGAAATATTATTTTACCTATTACCTATTTTACATTTGTTACAGGGAGTCACATAAGCGATCCTTAAATATGAAATTGAGACAACGTTATTTGGACGAAACTTTTTGGTAATTTTGATTATAAAATATGCCATACATATGATTTTTATCTGAAATTATTATACTTGTTTCAACTTGATAATTTAAATCGTTTTCGACTAAAACGTAAACATTTCAAATTCGGAAAGAAATTTCAAATAAGAAGCAGTAGAAAAACTTGTAATTCGGAATAATAAACAAATAGGATAGTAGAAAAAGCAAATTCAAATTGATTTTTCAATGTGGTCTCCTCCTACTTCTATCTTTTTCTAATTTTTTGCACATAATGTCTATAGCCTGTTTTATAATCAGAATTGCTAATATGTTTCGTAGTAATATAAAACAGTAAGTACATTAAATTATATTCCTTGACGTAAGTTATACCTCTAAGACAATTGTGGTAAAGATTTATGAAAATCTTGTGAAAGTATTACTAACAAACGAAAATAATATGTAACCTGTACCACCCTCCATCTTTTTCTATAGCAACATTGTATTAAGGTATGTTTAACCCAATCTTCATGTTTTGGTTCAAATGACACTTTCTCTATGTGCTAATAGTTATGATTCACCCTGTATACTTCTGCCGTATGTAATAGTAACACAGTGGGAATGTATCTGGTAATTTGAAGCCAAACGGTCCATGTCCCTTTTTAGAACTCCAACCAGATTTTCTTACTTGTAGTTCCAATACAATCACCTTTCCGTAACTTCTAGGAAAAATGTTACAGAACTTATTCACCGTACAAATGCCAGCAATGTTTTTCCCGATAACACGGCAGAAAAGAAAACCGGCTTTGTTAGTGCTGACGAATCAGGACGTATTGTTGCACTCAGTTGTAAAGTAATTTTCTGTTCCGTTTGTTTTCTGTTGAATCATATTCCTCATAGAAATGAACATTCTGGGAGAATATAGTCAAAAACTGTTAGATATGAAAGATACATGACATTCAAAACATAAATGAAATTTTTTAATTGCATAGATACATACGACATTGTAGATAGTCCGAAAGTCACTTCAATTAAAAAAAAAAAAACTTTTACTTTTCTCTTATTTATATTCTAAAAGCTACGGAATTACGTTTATAGTAGAAATAAAAGCTACGGAATTTAGTAGTATAGTTTCAGATCTGATTGTGTGACTTCCACCCCCATCTGTTGGCTAATCCAAACGTAATTTTTAGAAACTAAATCATTAATTGAGGAATTCGTCTGCAGGGTATAAAAATATTGCCGCAAGTTATTCTAATTAAAATTTGATTTATTAATTTTTGAATTGAGGCTTCTTTAAAGACGGTAGGAAGGAAATTTACTAGGGTATAAAACTGAAAAGCATCACGCGTCACGCGTCACGACACATGAATCCTGGAGGAAACCTAACTTCATTTTTTCAAATGGAATACACAATTTATTATTGCATTTTTAAATTCCACGTTAAATTTAAATACCTTTCTGTTAACTATATATTATGTCTAAAATGTATCAATTTCTATATTTGCACTAAATCAATAAATAGGTTGTTAATGTGTCCTGCACTATTTTCAATATCTCCGAAGTGAAAGCACACAAAGGTGTCCTATTTTCACACATAACTTGCGGAAGAAATGGCCCACTATTTTCACTATTAATGCAAACATGTTTTTTTCAATACTTCAAGACTAGCCAGTTCAGAAATGAACAATCGCCGACCAAACGATGCTTTATATTTAATATAAATTAGTATTATAAAAAGTTTAGTTTTCTCAAAAAGTGTTAGTCGTAGATAGTAACATCCTTATATTGGACGAAAGGAAATAAAATTTTGCACATGATGAGCTGACAAAAAATATGGCATTCCATTAAAAAAAAATTTAATTATGCCAGTTCGAAACAATTTATCGTGAATGTGGTAGGTTTCAATGAATTTGAAAAGAACATGTTTGCGTTAATAGTGGAAATAAAATGTCAAGTCTTCCACAAGCTATGTGTGAAAATGGTACACATCTGTGTACTTTCGTTTCGGAGATATTCAAAATGGCATAGAGAATTGCAACAAGGAATCCCCCATTTACATTGGTCAGCCAATACATTCCTTTAAGAAACGTATTAAAAAGCATAAGAAATAATAAATTTAATGAAGATTTCAAATTTGACATACAGAAAACGAAAGTTATTGATTTCCTTTATTACACACGCATACTATAGATAAATAAATAATAGAACAAAAACATACTCCTAAATGACCAATTAGATCTTAACAACTCGTCTCTGCTTAACCTCTTCCTCTTAAAGCAGCTGTCCGTTTATTTAATTTCAGTTTAACTTCTAAAGAAGCCTTGGGGAAGCGAAACAATTGTCAAATATTACAAATACGATTATTGCGGAAATTAATTGGAGTTTTATCTTGCTTGCTTGCACCTTTATCGATAGTACGTAGATGAATACGATTAGCCAGTTACGGATGCCACATTGTCAATTTTTTTCGTGATGTCATTAGTTCTTTCAAATGTAATATCAAACAGCTCTGTCTAGTGACCCAACAGCATGCAGCAAACAACGATGAGTCATTCAACTTGCAACATTCGAGCGATTTGAACCTTTGGTTCAAATGATTTTTTGTTATTTATCTGAACACTCGAAACCAAGAGTCGTGTTTTGAAAACGGGAATGGACTAAAATAATAAAAATGCAAATAGATCATTGTAACAAATACAAGGAAACTTATTAACAAAGCTTGCACGATATAAACCAAAAACACGTAATGACACGGCCGTCTAATATTAAATCATGAGAATGTGGAATACTTATAAATATTGAGAAATGATGAACGCGATGTGGCAATTAAATTCCTAACAATATGAAGGGTTCGTACTCGCGTTGTTGCAAATTTTAAATATTCCTTTAGCATCAGGAGAAGGATGAAATCGGTAGATCATTCCATTAAAGATTACTTACAGTATACAAATTCTTCCCCTCTATCAGTCACTGAGAGCTCGAAACTGTTATACTTCGTTTAGTTTCTGTAGCGATGTGACCTTCAGTTTGACCGGCGTAAGGTAGAAAAGAACAGCACTAGGCCAGAAACGGAAGGAGACAACTCTCGGCCAAACTCTTAACCGGTGAGGAGCGTATAATCCGTACAGTACTGCACGAAAAAATTGACCATTTTATCCACTACAATTGCATTGCTCAAATGTGCTGTTATTTATATTTAAAGATATATTAAAAGCTTTAACGCTTGTTTTCGACTTTCGACTCGCACTCTGCTATTCATGATTGAAAAAAATGTGGAATGTACTGTATGAAAAAGTATGTTTAATGAACCAAGGATTTTGCCAGCGCGCATCCAAAACATTGGAAGGGGCACATCGCTAGAGAAAGTAAATGAAGTATAACACCACTGCTTCGAGTAATCAAAATTCACTTTTATGAACAATTTGTTTAATCACTTTCTTTGTGTTAAAAATTGTTTGAAAAATTAAATTCTGTTTGAATGAATTGTTTGTAAATAGGTATGCAACGTATCGTACACTCCAGCATAAGAAATTGCTGATACTAACTACGTAATACTACTTTGCCCTGTACTGACAGCATTCATAATTTCTTTTATATATAATATTATGGTATTAATTAACTATATTGTGTTGTTGAGCTCATTGCAACACCCGAAAACAATTTATGGAAGTGACTTAAACTACTCCTTTACCATCAAAATAAATAAATTAATCAATACAATAAACTCTTTGCCTAGGCTAAATTTTAAAATGCATCACTGCTTACTGACATAATTCACATAATCTAGATATAACTTTTTTATAAACACATATTTTTAACTTAGCTTTGAAATATATTGTAGTCGTTTTGTGACTATCAATAATTGTGACTTTGATAAGAACCGATTTTACAACGATGTTGAACACATTGCTG